AAACTCAGAGGGAAGGAGGGAGGAGGGGGGGTGGGAAGAGATTAACCAAAGATCTTATATGCATAGTAGAGGCCCAGTACACGAATTTGTGCACTGGTGGGGTCCCTTAGCCTGGCCTATGACCTCTTGCAATCCAGGACCCCTTGGGGGATTTTGGAGAGCCGGTTTTGCCAAATCCCTGCAGGCCAGGCTGGGGGACCCCCCGGTGCACAAATCCATGCACCGGGCCTCTAGTTCTAAATAATGTCATTTTCATTACTTGGATATCTCTTTTTAGTATTAAAAAAAAAATGAGCTGGTTTGGTCAGAAAGTCATAGTCACATTGCCATTAAATAGACATCAAAAGTGAAGTTGACCTTTGAGATATATTGCCATTAAATAGACATCAAGTTAAATTGACCTTTGAGGTATCTTTACACAATTTACCCTATCACAGTGATGGCGAACCTTTTGAGCTTGGCGTGTCAGCATTTTGAAAAACCCTAACTTAACTCTGGTGCCATGTCACATATAGAAATTTTTTGATATTTGCAACCATAGTAAAAAGAAAAGACATATTTTTGATATTTATTTTATATATTTAAATGCCATTTAACAAAGAAAAATCAACCAAAAAAATGAGTTCGCGTGTCACCTCTGATACGCGTGTCATAGGTTCGCCATCACTGCCCTATCATTACTTGCTCAGGTGACATTTCCTGAAAAGGCAGAAATATTGCAAGTTACCCACAAAGAAAGCAGAACAAGGGCTCTCTCTGTCCTTTTTTTCCCCACATTGCTGGTCTAGCACTAAATGTGGATTCCCTAGGAAGCAATAAATCATGGGGATGGGGGAGAGGAGTATAGGACAGCCCAGTGCAGTACTAATTACTCACCCTAAGCCAGAAGTCCTGTGTGTCAGCCCTAATGAGCAGTTACGAGCTTGAACAAGTGACTTAACTGCACTCAAAGGCATGCAATTTCCTCAACTGTATAATGGGAATGTTCTCTGTTGACCTTACATAAAGAGATTTGACTAAGAGATGATTGGCTGATTTGCAAAAATGGCTCTCTCTCTCCTAGTCTTTGTTAAGTAACAGATGGAGACATATTCAGATAATCAGGAGCAATATAATATGGGACCAGAAAGCCATCAGCATTTAGTATTGTTTCTACGAGCTTGTTTATTTACCTACTAGAGGCCCAATGCTCGAAGATTCGTGCAAGAATGGGCCTTCCTTCCCCTGGCTCCCATCACCGCCTTCGCTCCAGGTGGAGCCGCCTTTCCGCCTTCCCATGCTGCCCAGAGGCCTGAAGCGGCTGGGGCAGTGCGGAACACCTGCTTCTTCGCCATGGCGACGACGCAAGCATCCCGCCCCACCCCTGGCCGCTTGGCGCCTGCATATGCAAATTAACCTGCCATCTTTGTTGGGTTAATTTGCATAATACTTTTAATTGGCTGGTGGGCACCATGAAGGTATGGTCAATTTGCATCTTTCTTTTTTATTAGTGTAGATACTTCCCAGAAAATAAACTGTAACTATTCTAATCTCTGGTTGTTAGAACTAAATGAAGTGTCAATTAACTATAGCAAAATAGAAAACAGAAAAAATCATGACTTTTCTTGTATATAAAAAATTCCTTCACCATGCCAAAATCTACCCAAGATTAACAGTGTCTTCAATTTGAATACTGAGCATCTTGCTTTCGCAGATAGATTTCAATCTCATTTTAAACCAGCTTTTGAAGCAGGAATTGTTTTATGAGAACTGTTTTATGAAAAAGCCTAATATAATCATTAACAAGTCAAATTTCTCTTCAGGTAGTTTAATTGCTTTGTATTGTAGGGCACAATTTGGAGATTTTAAATTAGAACTAACAATATAATAGAAATTAAACCCATGAGTAACAAATTCTGAGATTAATATTAGTCTGTGTTTTGCATTTAATTCATTTTAATCAGAAAACTTAATTTTGGACTCATTACATTAGAACATATTATCTCCAAACAACTGGGACAGACATAAAACTAAGATATAAGATGTTAAATGGTGAAAATTTAAGTTCTAAATTGAAAATGGTATAAGAACTGCTGAGAAATCGAAACTGTAGCCATATAGCTATCATACCTCACTTTGATTAGACTAGGTAAAGCATTCAGATGGGAAAACCACACTATCATATTTGCCAACAAAACAAAATATGATTTTGAGAAACTGTCTTTGCTGGTCATGGGAACTAACTCTATCTTGGCTGAAGTCAGTCTGTGGAAAATCACCTTAAGTAATGGTCTTAAAGTCTGGGTCCTTTCAGCCTCACATGAGGATAAAAAGATCTTTAATTAAGTAATTCTTCTATAAAGACATAAATATTGAATAAGTCCAGAGGAGAGAATCTGAAGAAAAATGAACAGCCTTCATGATAAAACTTGGTTTTTAATTATTAAATTCAACTACCCACTTTATAAGACATTAATATTTAAATAGCATAAACCAGTATCTTTTTCTAAGTCCAAAAAGCAGGGTTGTTTTTTTTTTTAATGTTAGCCTAGCTGCAAAAATTATAAAGCCATTGGCAATGAGACATAAAGAAAGGTGAGGCTTCTATAAAGAGCTATAGGCCAATACACACATTTTTATAAATGCTAAAAGGAATCATAGCAGGGGGAAGAAAAAAAATCTGCCGAATTAATGATTTTAGGAATACTAGAACAAGAGGATAAACATGAAACAAAAACTTGGGATATCCATTTAGTTACTGAACAGTAGTTCACGTAGGATTATCTACAGCAGGGTTTGTGGGAGTCCCTGTTGCAGGATACCTGCAAATCTGCTTTGAGCAAGACTTTAATTTGAAAGGTCTGTGTGTGACCCCCCCTCAAATGGGATCGGTTCCTGCCCGGCTCCATATACTGAAAAGCACTGAGACAGACTTATGTAATGTTCACAACCCAAAGACATTTTTAATTTGTAAACTCCTCACACAGCAAGACAAAGTAGGAAAACTCTAATCACCAATAATTTTTTTTTTAACTTTTGGGCTGTTTAGGGAATTCATTTTAGAAACAATAAGCTACAACAAATAGATGAGTTAATTTATTTCTTTGACATTAAATATATATTCTTCCAATTAATAAGATGTAATTTCTCACAAATAAATGGGCGAGGGGGGAGAACTCTGCAAATCTTAAAGGAAAAACCATTGAGAGAAAAATGTTAAATGATCTTCAAGATTTTGTAACTTTCAAATTCTGTCAAACATATCACTTGAAATTTCACTTGTCAAAAAAAAAAAACAAAACCCTCCAAAACCGTATTTACATATCCATTATTGCAGGTATCTAATTATTCAAAAACATAAAAAATAATAAAAAATACATTGTCATCCTTCATTTAAGGCTCTCTATAACTCAGAAATTGATACTAAAACCTGTTCATTGCAAACAGTCAATATCTTTCAGTGGAGAGTTTATCACACTCAAAGACAATTTTCAGTAAGAATAACACTAAAGTTCAAATTTTAAGTCAATGGGAATGATGTCAGATTTAGACCACATTCACTATGAAGGACTAGACAACTAATGTGTCACTATACATTTAAAAAAAGATGACTGAGGATGGGGACAAGTGGGGAGGCAGACAGTGGCGACCTCTGGAAGATGGAATCTCTTCTCTCTGCTGGCCCTAGAAGAGAAAAGAGACACCAATAAGCATCAACACACTGTCCGAATTCCTCCCCACCAGAGACCCACCAGTCCACAGGTGTTTCTCAACCTTACAGCCTTCCTCACCTTTATATGTGGTATTCAGTGCCTACAGGAGAATATCAAAGACACCACCCTATCCGAACTTAATTAGCGCTGCCTTAAAACAATAAAAACTATCAAAAGTATTGTTTATTTTTATACAGTTATAATCTGCATCAAATGGGACTGAAGGCAGCTGGGCTGAAATAACCGTTCTCATCTGTATTAAGAAAAGCTTTCTAAAATTATTGCACTAGATTATCCTATCCTATATTATAAAAGGCTAATATGCAAATCGACCAAACGGCAGAACAACCGGTCGCTATGGTGTGCACTGACCACCAGGGGGAAGACACTCAATGCATGAGCTGCCCCCTGTTGGTCAGTGTGCTCCCACAGGGGGAGTGCTGTCAGAAACTGGGCTCAGGGCTGGCGAGTGCAGCGGTGATGGCGTGGCAGGAGCCTCTCCTTCCTCTGCCGCACTGCTAAGGATGTCCAACTGACGGCTTGCAGGAGCGGACCTAAGCCCCAGTGGGACATCCCCCCCCCCCCCCCCCCAGGGCTCCCAGACTGTGAGAGGACGAAGGCCAGGCTGAGGGACCCTCCCCCCCTCCCAGTGCACAAATCTCGTGCACCGAGCCTTTAGTTTTCAATTATAAAGAGACTATTAAATAAAAATTTTTAAATATCTAAATTATCCATGTGTGTGTGTGGGGGGGGGGGGGCATCTGTACAAACCTAGTGGCTACAACCAAATACTTGGGTTGTAACTGTTGTGACTCCCATTAAATGCACACGGAGAGGATATGGTGAATGGGGTTGTTTACATCAAGCTGGCTAAGAGAAATTAATCAACTTGTACAATTTGAAAAAAAGTTATCCTCATCCCGGAAAGAAGCCCTGAAACACTAAAATTTTTTGAAATCTAAATAAGTTTGAAATCTAAATAAGTAGATAAAATAACTATAGTAGATAATTCCTTCAATACTGTAATGCAAATAGTATTCTCCAGAATCTCCTTTTCCTAGGTAATAAAGTTAGTAATTCCAAACAACTGGCAAATTCTTCCAGACACTACCAGAGCTTACACAACCAGACCTCTGAATCCGTTATTTTCTCACATATTCTTGTGGAAGACCTTGTCACTAAGAACTGCCTTCCCAAGTAAACCCTACAGGGAATCATTTTCATTTCAGCTACTCAAGACTTACGTCCAAATGCATGCAATGGGGACTTAAACTAAATAAGCAGCAGCTATATTTCCACATTACTGACCATTGCTGTCTCCCAGGTATTATGCTGAACAATGGAGATACAAAAAGACACCATCTCTGGCCAGGAAACCGGCAGTGGCAGCGGCGCATCACTGGAAGCCCAGTAAGTCTGGAAACGGAATCTCTTCTGAACTCACTGGCTTGGGGTCAGGAGAACAGAATTTTAACCTGAGGTCCGCGTTTGCAACCACCACAGTGACTGACGGAAGGAAGGGTCGTGCTGCCGGGCGCCTGGCGCAGAGTGAAACCCCCGCTGTTGTGCTTCCAAACTAGTCAGCGCAAGGTCCCAAGAGATGCAGCGAATAGATCACTCATCACTTCAGTCGCGGCGTGGGAAGTGTCATACAGACAAAGACTGAGAATTCAAGATGAATGTCTGATTTTGAAAGTCATTAAGAATGTTAGGGCTGGAAAAGACCTAACTCCGTATTGCCAACGAAGGAATTCAGAAATCCAAGCACTCCTGACAACCCACGTGGGACAGCGCGCACTCCTTGGTTGACAAATTACAATCACCCAAACAAAAAGAAATGTTTGAAACGAGCAGACCACGCGTTCTCAAGGCAGCTTTCCCGAGGGACTCAAATGCCTGCACAGATAACTCGCCGGCACCAGCTGCGAAGAAGGGACAACCTGGTGCCGAAGCCCAGAGCCAAACGCGTCCAAGCCGCCCGACTCCGGGCCCACCGGACAGGCCCCGCGGTCCCTAGGCCACGTTCGGAGCCGAGAAAGGCGTCGCCCCGCCCTGAAGGGATGGATTCCGTAAACCTGTTTGCCATCAAAGTGATGGATTCCGTAAACCTACAGTTTGCTATCAAGGTGATGGATTCCTTAAACTGCGCCGCGCAGCCACCCGAAGCCCCGAGCCCGGAGCGCGGCAGCTCCGCCCGCCACCGGTGCTCGCACCGAGC